TGTCTCCAGGCCTTGTGTAGAGGATCTATGCAACACAACCATTGAACCTGCTGACAAGGGGGTCGCACACACTGTTAACAGGTCATAGGAATTTCTCTGTGAGGGTTACGTCCCAGACCCAAGACACCTTATTATGTATATGCAAATATACGAAATTCAAGACATCCAAAATCCAAGCATTTCTGGTTCTAAGCATTTTGGATATAAGGGAGACTCAGTATGAGTGGTGTGTGAATTAGATGGGACCTTAAAAGCCTATTGTGTGGGTCGTCTTGCCGGTCAATGGTTTGGTTTCTCTCCCCAAACTTAGCACCTTCTCTGCAGGGGCCAGCTCCTTGGGAGCCCAATCTAGGGTCGCAGATGTTTTTATTTCTGATGGCAGTGAGACTAGGAAGATGGGACTAGTTTTATCCAGAAGTGTGTATGGGCAGGGAAGTTGCCATCCCAGGAGGGGTATTCAGTGAGTTTGTATTAACTATGGGTGGGTCTGACCAATTCACTCAAAATATTGATAATTTGTGATATGTGGTGTCTGGTGCTCAACCAAGTGACAAGCAAAACAACCCCAGACTTTCTTACACTGTTGAGACTATTATATTCTCATGAGGAGGATACACATCTCAACTTAGTCTGGGAATTGAAAGACGGTCTGGTGAGGGAAAGTTTAATAAGAAAAATAAACTTGAATTAAGACATAGTCAGTGACAGGTCTGTCATGCAGAGGACTGGGAAGAAGCTTTTGGGAGTTAGGAGACAAAGTGCAGCCGCACAGGGAGCTTGGCTAGTCTGGCAAAGGCTGCTGCACTGGCATGCAGGGAGCTGCAGGGACCAGACAGAGGCTCAGTGGTGAGTTTCTGAAGTTCTGGAGGGAACATGAGAGGGGGTGATTTTATGAGTAACTGGGAGGAAGGGGGCTAAGGGTCAACAGAAGAAGGAGGGGCCTGGTTTATGTCTGAGAAGAATTACCTTGGCAGTTGGGTCAGGAAAAGAAACTAGTCAGTCAAGGACAGAAGGAGAGACTGGTTCAGAGCCCGCTGCAGTGACCTGGGGATCAGTGCTGGTCAGAGCCAGCATTCAGTGCTGGTCAGAGCCAGCAGGGCGGTGATGGTAATGGTCAGACAGCAGACGGGGCTGAAGGGACAGACGACGGGATCTGATGACAGGTGTGAGGTGTTGGTGAGAGGGGGCACTCAGTCCTGAGTGGCCGGAAAACGCACCGGGGGCAGCCGGGACAAGCCAATGCTCCGTGGCTGTGCGGACTATCAGCAGCATTGTTTGGGGTGCGTGAATATAGAGATGTCTGCCACACTTTCAGGAGGGGATCATGGGGCACCATGTAGAAATGCGAACTTCCGAGTTTAACGGGGGTGGGCGGTGGCGGGGATCTTGACGAGATGTAATTTGGAGTAAACGGTATTTCAAGCCAAGGAAGTGGACAAGAGCAGCAGGTGAAAGCATCTATGTGGAAAGGAGGTGGAGAGTGGTGAGCGATGCCTTGTAAGCATATGGGCCTGCGGGAAGGATGCACGTGGCATGAGCCCTCTAGAGGTGAAGCGGGGAGAGACAGAGAGCTAACTAGCCCAGGCCACAGGTATGGCAAAGCTCAAAAAAGCCTGCTGGGCACTGCAGGTAGGGATGACCAAACAGGATACGAACTGAGATAGGACCACTGATCTTGGCAACACGGAATCACTGGCAGCTCCGCTCCTACCGTTGTCAGTTGCTGCTGACAGAAGCAGGACACTGGCTCCTTGGCTCACAGAGTGGGATGTCATGGTGAGTCGGGGCACTACTGTGGGTCATTGGTGGTAAGGTGGCTGTTGGCCAGCCCTACTGGACATAGTTCAATAGTTGATGAAGACAAGCTCTAGAATATCACTGGTCGGCTGATAGCACCCCTGGACATCTTACGCTGCTCTCGTGAGAGACTTCTTGCCTACACTTGGGGTTCCCGAGTCATTTCGTTGGAAGTTGTAATTATCCACCCAAGTGAATGAATAGAAGCAAAAAAGAGGACTCATCGCCTTGTATGCCTGGAGACAAAACAAAACAAGCAACAGACAACCCAGCTCACCTCCGTGTGTGGCTGACTCCCTAGGCTCATGAAAGTCTGCTGGAAGCTGTAGCTTGACCTCTAAGTGAGGACTTCCCCTTGGCCAGTTCTGGTCTAGGCAGGCTTTAAGAACATTTAGGCGTCAGTGCCCCGGTATCTCCCAACCAACAGTCACGTAGGACATCTGCCTCATACCACACACTGGATCCAGGTAATTTTAGCAAAATAGCCACAAACTGATTTTTCTTTTCTGAACCTAGTTTACATGTTCATCTGAGAACCAACCAGATGATTTCATTGGTCAGATCAGTGTGCTCTTAGACACGCATCTTGTGAAATGCGTAGTGATCCCTAACTGTCTCTAACTATTCTTAGGCTGTTGTATTCAGACTCCTAAGGGGCTCTTCCCCAGTAACACACACCCTCTATCTGTCTCAGTTTCTAGTTCAGCTAGACAGGAGGCAGACAGAATGGGTAGAAGGAAGAATGTGGTAGACAGATTGCTTGTACCCCCTACCCTGGGGATCCCCACAAAGATGGCTGTCAGGTGGTAAATGACAGTTCTCTGATGGGTTCAATATTTGGAAATTGCACCCTCATCCATAGGCTGATAATGACCTTGTGCACCTCCTCACATGTAGGAAACAGCTGCTTTTAGGTCCGCTGTGATGATTTTTCACAATGTGGCAGGATCTAGGCTTTGCCATGCTTGCCTGGCACAGTTCCCACATAGGCCCCAGAATTGGAGACCCTCGTAGAAACCTTCTATCATCCACTGGGAACAGTACACAGTGCTCTAGAGTTTATAACGAAACCCATTTTTCAGCATAGTGTTCTACCATTGAAGAGTTTCTGTTTATTTCCTTTATACATTTGAAAATGTTTAGCATATCAGTGATAAGAAGCTATGAAATCCCTGTAAGATGGTGATCTTCTGGGATGGGTGACAGTGCCAAAGGCACAGTCTCAGCAGCCTCAAGCTCAGCATCAGGTCCCCTTCTTACCATGCTTCCGTCTCCAGTCTCTCTCCCAGGAGATCAGAGTAAGTGACGACTAGTTCAGAGGCTATATATCTTCCTAAAACGGTTGTTTTAGGAAAGCTCACTTTGACTCCTCCCTGAATGGAGCAATGGTTCTTGGATGTCTTGATCATAGAAAACCCTGAGAGGTCCATGATGGAAGATGACACAGTCCATCCCTCTGGGCGTAAGGAACAAGACTTATAACCAGAGGTACAATAAATGCTGTCATAAAACTCAAAATGAGTGTGACAACCAATATTCCAGCACTCGGATGCTCCTTACACATTCCTGCAGCAACATGGGATTTTGCGATAGGCATGTGAAGGTCTAGAAGTGGTGGGAAGCAGCTTACTGGCTCATCCTCCCCAGATGCTACGTGTGCTCAGCTAACTCCAAGAAGCCTAGAACATAGACACAGAAGCCATACTTTTGTTTCAAAGCAACTTTCTTAGGCTCTATAAGGATAAAATCAATGATGAGTACGCCCAGTGAGCTGAAGGTAATGTGTTCTTTTGCTTGAAATGCCTTAACTCTATGACATGGCCGAAGAATTGCAGCTCAGAGCCGATTCAGTATGCTAGAGTCTCACATTAACCATGCCTTAGCAACTCTTAAGTTTGTACTGGAGAGATGTGCAAAGATCTTCCTATTATTGAGTTTAGACTGCAGATTTTAAAAAATTTATTCTAAAAATAACTGTAGATTCACAGAAAATTGCAAAAAAAGTGGAGTCTCTGTATTTGCCTCATTTACTCTTCACCAACATGAGAGCATGCTTAGCCACTGACTTACACAGCTTGAAAACCAGGACTATTTCATGTACGTCAGCATCTTTGTGATGTTTGTCATGTGTGCAGATTCAAGCACGTGCTATCTTTCCATCATGATGATGACAGCTCTTGCAATGCCACTTCTGCTTACTTCCTTTCACAACTTTCATTTGTTATTTAGAGACTGTCCTATGTAACATGAGGGCCAGCTTGTTGGGGTTTCCGTCCCGCCTGGTACCCCACAACCGGCAAGTCCCAAAGAAAATTACATGGAGATCTCTATAAGTTATAAAGCTGATTGGCCCATTAGGTCAGGCTACTTATTAGCTCTTATAAGATATATTAACCCATTATCCTTATCTATGTTAGCCACACGGGCTCAGTACCTTTCTCAGTGTGACAGCTTACATGTTGCCTCTTTGGTGGTCTGCACAGGAATGGCTGAGGAACTTCCCTGCTTCCCAGAATTCTCCTGTTCTCATTGTATTGCCTCTACTTCCTGTCTGGTTTTCCTGCCTATACTGCCTGCCTGGCCAATCAGTGTTTTATTAAAATATGATTGACAGAATACAGACAATTCTCCTGCATCAGTCCTATAAACTTAATCAGTTTGCAATATTTGAAGACTGGCCCTTTAAACCCTAGAGTAATATCACTGAGATCTGACTAAGTTGTTGCATATTCAAATAATATGTTTCTTTTTAATTGCTGAGTAGCACTCTCTCTATATAGAGAGAGTAGCACTCTATATATGCATGGTATGATACCAGAGTTTGCTCAGCTACTTGTAGATTGAAAGCCATTTGGTTGTTTCTAGTTTGGAACCATTACAAATAAAATTGGCCGTTTACATTTAGTGTAATTATTAAAGTGTTAGAACACAAGTTGACCATCTTATCTTTTGTGTCTGTGCTTTCCTTGATTCTTGTTTTTCCTTTTGCTGCCTTTTTGTGTACAAATAAGGGGATAGTTAAAATTTGGCTTTAACTTATCTATAGTATGTTTGAGTACATTTCTCTATGTGCATATTTTATATATGTTTTATCTCCTTGATAATTACATGCAATTAAATACATGTAATTTTTACAAGTTACTGGTAATGAGAATGTACCATTTTGAGTGGCATGTAGAGACTGAAACTTTTCAGTCTTGATGTAGACTTTTAAGACTTTAATTGTCTGTTAATACATAAAATCTTTGATTTTCTTGGGTGATCTTTTTACATACATGCGAAAAACCACACAAAACATCTTCCAAAGGAATTTTTACAAGCAGGTAGCCTAGAGCCAAGGGAAACAAAGTGAAATTTATAAAGCAATTCAATAATTTGGGTAGCATCGGAGAGCCTGTCTTCCAGAATGTTCCCTCTGCCACTCTGTCTTCTAATTTGAGACTTTTCCTCTTCAGAGTCGTTTATTTCTGTTGGCTGATTGGTCTTCGTGTTTTTGCCATAAGCTACTCTAGAAGGTAGATGGTGAGCGCAACCTGAGGAATGGAGACAGAAGAGACTAAGGCAACTGCTCCAGGCAACCAAGGCAAAACACAGGTCACACTGTGATCATACCAGGGCCACCCAGGCTGGACCTGGCTCTCAGAAACAGGGACTACTGTCATGGTGGATGGTTTCTGTTCTACTTGAGAAAAGAGAAACCCATGGCTTTGTATCAAGTAATTCCAGGCTTAATGCAATTTCCAGGGAATAAACATGGCAGTGGCATTTTATAGAAGGAAAGAGCATCAATATTGAATAAGATGCAGAAGGTGACAGCTAAGTGCTCAGTCTCTCCAATCTTTGCTCTGACCAAAGATTGCCAGCACTTCCTAGCTAAAAATGAGTCTGACTGGAGCGCATGCCAGACAAACCAAAGATGTCTGCCTGCTTGGTTCTCAATCCTAATGAAGTCCAGTGTGCTTAAATCCCTTTCTAAGACCCAGGAAAAAGTGAAAGTGGCAGGAAGCACCTCCAGCGAGGATGGAAAGGAAGCATCATTGTGTACACTAGCCTGACAGAGGGCTGCAAGGCTGCAAAGTGATTCTGAGGACCAGTGATAAGCATGCTGAGAGGTGGCAACTCCAGTGGGGATGAGGCAGGGAGAGGACAGCAGAGACAGCAGATAGGAGAATCCACAGCCAAGACCCAGACTCTTCCTGGCATGGAATGTAGCTGCAATGTTTTTCTTAACTTCTCTTTGCTGACTTCTCTGGATACCTAGGAAAGGTGGTACACATCCTCCAGAGGAAGAGCTTCAGGGGGAGCAGTTGGACTGGGCAGCATCCACAGACTGCTGCTCTGTCCCAGATCATGTTTCTGTGTGGATCCTGAAATGCCAGAGACAGAGAGAAAGAAGCTGTAGTTGTGAGCTCGGCTCTCTAGTGGGCACATCCAAGACTCCACATCCTAACTGGGGTGCTGGGGGTTAGGATTCCTGTAGAAGTCTCCATGCCTGGAATGAAAATGATATGTCCTGAGAGCCTTGGCTAAAACTCTGAATTCACCCAAGATCTCAGAAAGGTACAAGATAGAGTAGCCAGATGTTCCAGACAGCCACTTCACCCAAGACCTCAGCAAGGTACAGGACATAGTAGCCAGGTGTTCCAGACAGCCATTTCTAGAAACCAAGTGCATCATCAGAGTGGATATTAAATCACTTGTGCCGTGCAGTTCCACAAGAATGAAGTAATCATCCACACCTCTCCAGCGAGCTCAGAAGAAATCAACACTTTGGATTCTCCTGCAGACCACAACAGAGATGTCCAAATAGCACTGGGCCTCTAAGTTTCCCACTGTCTTTGCACACTGGTACCAAAAGCACAAACTAAGAACAACAACAACGGCAAAATCCAAACTTTCTTGACAAGCAGTTCCAAGAAGAACCCCAGATTTGGGTGCAAAAAAGAACCACAGAAGTCTCCCAAGGTGGGGGGAGGGTCACAAACTGGCTAAAAGTCACAAGGGAAGAAGACGCAGAAGAATGAAACCTCAGTGTGAACAGATGGGATTTACTGGGGACATAGATGTCTGTCATTTCCAAAACATTCCTTTTTTTAAAAAAAAATTATACCCTTGCTGTTTAATCTTGGCTACCATCTAACTCTCAGCAATAACGCCTTAGTCTCTCAAGCCATGGGACTGCAGGAATGCTCAGTTTTTCCATTTTATCACAAGCTAGGCAAAAGGTGCTGTTGATGCTAGCGAAAGAGGAGGGAGGGAAGGAGGGAAGGAGGGAGGGAGGGAGGGAGGAAGGAAGGAAAGAAGGAAGGAAGGAAATACTAGTTTTGACAACTGCAGGGACTGTCACTATCCCAGCTTTCACCCACAGCCACTGAGCCACAGATGGAAGCCCTGGAGGTTTCCCATCTAAAAGGCAGAACTCTATGCTCTTGCTGAAGGGCCAGACAAATTCTGTCACCAGAGCTCACAACCTGAGGACCTGGCTAGACAATTTATAAATGAATTTATTTGGAGTTTTGCCTAAAACTTGAAAGACAGAAATTCTAAGTCTCTTTCCCCCATAGCAGTGTTAGAACTTGTAGGAAAAGAGAAACAGCTTGTGAGGTGCTCCCTTTAATCCAAGCACTTGGGTGGAAAAGACAGCCCAATCTCTGCTAGAAGACTGACCCCAATAAGAACAGAAATAGATGGGTTTAGTTAGGAAAGGGTAGTACACTATGCTCTGATCCCTGATGCTACAGAGAAAGAAGCAGGGTAGCAGAGAGAAGTCAGGGCAGCAGCAGCAGCAACCCACAGCAAAGGCTATCAGCTCACATCCTGAGACATCAGTTGCCCAGGTGTTAGAGATGCACGGCTGGACAGAAAGATGCTCAGCGCTTCAGTTTCTGACTATCTCTGGCAAGTGTCCTGGTCTACACAGTGAATTCCTGGCTAGCTTAGAGGAAATGTTGCAGGCAGGGTGGAAAAGAAGAAACAAAAGCCGGGAAATATATCCATGCAGACTTAACTATGGGCCCCATCAGCAGACCTGATGAGAATATCTTTTTCCTAAAACCAGAGCTGTTTGAGTGACCATTTCTACTCCCAGTAGATACGTTTCCTGCACGGATCCTTGTGCCCAGGGCTCTGTTGTAGTGATTCACATCTCAGATATAACATCCCCTTTAGATGACTTCCCAATAAATCATCTGTGATATTAAAGGAAGAGAAAGATGTAAGAAGCAACCACACTGGGGAGCCTGTGGCGAGTGGCTTTGTGATGTATATTGCTGGTGGGTAAAAATGTGTACAGTCTACATGATGACATGTGTCACAGCTATTTAAACAAAGACCCTTGGACACACTCTTTGCAGTGATGCAAGACTGCCGGGAAATAATCTAAACCATGGTGCGATGTGTTAGTCACCCAGACGCGCGTCACAGAACCATTTCCATTAGTGCAAAAATTAGAAACAACTTAAATGCCCACAGGAATATATAGTTCTGCATATCATGAGAACGGCCGTCTTGCAGATGTTTGCAGTGTTAGCTTCAAAGACCATGTGACAGCATGGGTTTCAGAACAGGGTAGAAATGACATGAATGCTCTGAGTTTAGCCATGTGGAAGCATACACACAGAAAAATAACTAGGAAGAAAGCATGCCACTGTTACAGCTGGCTTACGCCACAGAATGGTGGACATAGTCAGCTATTCTATTTAAAACTAGATTGTTTTGGTTATTTTTGTAATGAAAAATATTTAATAGACAGGGGAAACTGCAGCAGGAATTTTTAATCTAGATTATTCTGAGATTTTAGAAGTCTGATAGGGAGTGTTGCAAGCTAAGCATCATGAAATGAAAGTGAATCCTAAGGAGCTAGAACATGAAAGATGCTGTCTACTGTGACTTACAGAGTGAAGAAATAAGCCTGTCCCCTGCGCAGAAGCCTCCAGAGTGTGCAATGGTCACTGCCCATGTCCTCCATGGAGGCCTTCAGAGCTGTGCACTGGCCACTACCTGTCTCATGCATGGAGGCCTCCAGAGCTGTGCACTGGCCACTGCCTGTTCCTTGCACGGAGGCCTCCAGAGCTGTGCACTAGCCACTGCCCATCTCCTGCATGGAGCCCATCAGAGCTGTGCACTGGCTACTACTGCATAACTTGCCACCCACTTAGCCAAGTCAGTGGAAGGGCCTTTTTTGCAGGGTATCTTCCTCAGTCCTGTGTTCTTAGGCCTATGAAGTTGTGAGTGAAAGGGACACACGGTAGGGTTGTGTGTGTGTTGGGGGTGGGGTCTTACAATAATGAAAACATTGTCACCACAACTGCTATTTTTGCCTGAAGAACTAGTGTGGCTCCTGACTCTGCCTATGGCCGTCTTTTGGCTGCATTCTAGGCTCTCGTTTGTGAATGGAACTGAAGTCCCCTGAGTGTCTGCTCTGTGCTACCTGGCTTAGAAGCCAAAAAGTCCCTGACTTCTTAAGTTTCTTGGGTCAGAATGCTCCGACCAGCTCCTTTTAGATGGCCTCTCTTCCAGTTGGCACATTACCAAACCAAGATTTCTCCTTTGCACACGGTCCCTGCGTCTACTACAATGACATCTTTCATTATCAAAGAGTCCTAAAGGGCACCGGGCGCGCTCACAGTCCGTCAAGGGCCTTCAGAAAAGCTCCTAGAGCAGCTGTGCAAATGTAATTGCAAGTGCTGCTTCTGACTATTTCCTGGCAAAGTTTAGTGGTAATGCCTGCCCATCTCTGGGCCGTTTGCTTTTCTACCAACCCCTCAGAGACTGCTGGCCTAGAGGCCTACATCCAAAACTTTCCCATGGAATGAGTTTCATATTTGGGAACTGACAATGCGCCCCCAAATGCCAGTGATAGTAGTATGTTAGTAGCATTAGTCCTCTGGGCCATGAGTGACACCAGGAGCATTCAGGACAGAAATGAGGTGGACAGATAGATGAGGGTCCTTTTTTTGTTCCCTGAGCTGCATGTATGAAAAGAAATAATAAAGTTTGCAGAATAGCAAGAGACATAAAACCCCTCAGTCAACCAAACCATAGTCCGAGAGGTAGGGAAAGGTGTTTTATGGCTTGGATGGAAAGACTCCTACAGTAACACAAGAGTCCTTTCCTTTGGGTGCAGCTCACTGCCTCCCTCTTACCACCTCTTCCCTTCCTGGCTCAGGGTCAGGGTCCCAGGTCACCTCCAATCTTCCTGGGAATCCTTGGCCATTGAGTTGGGTGAAACCAAATTGGAAAAGATGGCTTTTCTTGGTGTCGTGGGGGCCATGCTCTTGATTTTGTTCAACTTCTCCCTGGCCTGTTGGCATTTTTGCAGGCACTGTGCACACAGATCCTTCTCTTCCACCAGATGGAGGTTTTCCAGCCTTTTGATGGTGTCTACAAACGCGTCTGTTTCATCGTCCTTTGGAAAGGGGTTCCTCTTTATGTTGAGCTTCTTCAGTTTGGGGAGCTTGGAGATGCTTGCAGGGATGGTATTCAGCAGGTTGTCATGTAGCCCTACCTCATGGAGCTCCTTCAGTGCCCCCAGCGTGGTGGGCACATTGTCTAGGTGGTTGAGGCCAAGATTCACAGTGCGGATGTTCTTGAGCTGGTTCAGCTCCACGGGCAGCCCATTTGTGGTCAGCCTGTTGTTACTCACATTGAGGTAGAGCAGGGAGGTCATCTGACCAATGGACTCGGGGATCTTGTCGATGTAGTTGCTGTGCAGGTCCAGCCATCGCAGGTTCTGGAACTTGGAGATGGAGTCTGGGATCTTCCTGATGAGGTTCCGGCTGAGGTCGAGCTCATCCACATCATTGAGGCGCAGGATGCACTTGGGAAAGGTGGTGATTCCCATCTTGCTCAGATCAAGGCGTTTTCTCCCATCAAAGGTGATTTTGATGCAATTCTTGGCCACACTGAGAGTGATCTTCTTGCCCTTGGGGCCTTTCCCGCCCTTGGCCATGGTCTCTTAGTATGGAAGTGTATTTGAAGGATATTTTTCTGAGTTGATGGTGATGACTTTGGGGAAGGAGTCACATAAAACTGCTAGAAAGGGAGCTCTGATAAGAACAGAATAAGATAAATCTAGTTAGTAGAGGACACCACACTGTGCTGTGACCCCGATGGTCCAGAGAGAGAGGGAGAAAAAAGAAAACAAAACAGGGTAGAGGAGAAGAATCAGGATAGCAGCAGTAGCAAAAGTATCAGAGGTCTTCAACAGTTCTCATCTCTCTAGATGTCAGTTTCCCAGATGTGAGAGGCAGTGCTGAGCTGGAAGATGCTCAGTGTTGCTCTCACTGTCTTATTCTCTGGCCATTTTCCTGGGAAGTAGCCTTCTGACTCCAGGGTGTGTGGTGTGTGTGTGTGTGTGTGTGTGTGTGTGTGTGTGTGTGTGTGTGCCTGTCTGTCTGTCTGTCTGTCTATGCCTGTGTGTCTGTGTGTGCATGTATGTGCATGTGTATGCTTGGCTATGTGCTGCTTTCCCATACAGAGTCTCCTTAGCATTGTCAAAAGACCATCCTGGGAGGCTGCAGAGGGAGGGGCTGCTGCATCAAAGGCAGCAGAAGCCTGGACGGGAGGAAATACTGTTAAAAATGACTGTCATGTCCCTTTCACATTTGGGACCCATAAGAGCTAGCAGGCTTTGGTTACTGTAACTACAGAGTGGTAAGAGCAGTCCTGGGTCTGGGGAGCAGCATCCAGAGTGCCCCTCCTCTCCCTAGGCACAGAGGGTGCCAGGGTGGGGCTGCCAAAGCTTCTAGAGAAGCATCTAGAGATGCTCTTTCATCTCCACTGCTCCACAGCCTCCCCCATATCCTTCACACCAACAGTCAACAATAGATTGCTCTGCATAACTAGGTTTGGGGGCAGGCACAGAGAACACCACACAGAGCCCTAGAATGTGGAGAGTTGTCTTAGAAGTCTAGTTCGGCAGTTAGCAATTTTCTCTAACTCTCTTGCCCGAGTCTCCTTGTTTGTGAAAAGAGTCCCTTTACGGAGCTGCTAGGGGATATAGATTGTCTAATGCTGCATAGCACTGGTAATGGTGGGTCTTAACCGTTAGTTACTAAGTACACAGAGTGTTCCCACTCTTCAACAGTCTCAGGAGATCCAGTGTTGTTCCTGCTGTCTAGAGAGGGAGACTGATGCTGAGCAGTGAGGGAGGCCTACAGCTAGAGACAGGCTCTACACAGTCAGCAATGGAGCAACACATTCCCAAAAATATCTACAGTCTGGACAAGAGAAAACAGAACAAAATCTAGGAGAGCCAAGTGTAATCTAAGGCAGCCCTGGAGCTTTGTAGTCTTGTATTAGGAAGGAAAACCGGATGTGGAGGGGAATCTAATGCCCCTTTCTGGTCTCTGGGAACACTGCACTGAGGCGCACACACAGATATACACATAATTACCTAATTTAATTTAATTTTTTTTTTTTTGGTTTTTCGAGACAGGATTTCTCTGTAGCTTTGGTGCCTGTCCTGGAACTAGGTCTCATAGACCAGGCTGGCCTCGAACTCACAGAGATCTGCCTGCCTCTGTCTCCCGAGTGCTGGGATTAAAGGTGTGCGCCACCATCGCCTGGCCATAATTACCTAATTTATAATTTAAAATTCAAGTCTTTTCTTTTAAAAAGAAACTGAATGCCCTCCTTGACCTCAGGTGTATGAGTAAGACAGGCATTTGACTGTTCCTATCAGTTTATATCGGAAATTCTAGGAAGTGAAATAATGCAAGAAAATGAAGGGTAAACAGAAAAGAATGAAGTCAAGATACCTGTATGTGCAGGTGACCCAACGGTTCACGTAGCGACAACCATGACATGTTTAGGACAGACTTTACAGTAATAACTGAATTTAGCAAGATTATGGAAAGCAAGGTTAAGACACAGCTGCCCTGCCAGATATCTACGTATTAGCAAGTAACAAGCAGAAGCTAAAACTCAAAGAAAAAAAAAAACAATGTTCCCCAAAGGAAAATGCATTCATATTTCAGATATATATACTAATAAGGATTTCTATGATGAAAATTATGAAATAATGACCTAAGGAAAATATCCTTCATGGGAAAACATGGCACGCATGAGTTAGACAACCCAATATTGTTACACTACTTTTCCTGAAATTGGTTGAACAATTTCATAACATGAATTCATGAATAACATGATTCTATTTGAACTCTCGGCAAGATATATACATATGTGTGTGTGTGCGTGTGTGTGTGTGTGTGTGTGTGTGTGTATTTCATGTTTCTATGTATAAGAATTTCTAAAATTTTGAAATTCTGAAATGTTGAAAGATAAAGGAACTAGAATTAAAGAGCAAGTTTGAAAAAGGGAAAACACTGAAGGAGGATTCATTTAAAATAATTTTAAAACTTCCCATGTAACTAACATGTGTTATCAGTCGAGGGACAGATACATAGACGACCAGGACATAAGACACTGCCCAGAAAGCAGATCTGCACAGATGTAGCCAACACAGTCAACTGCGTTCTGACAAAACTTCAGTAGAAAAACAAACTTTTCAACAAATGGTGTTGGGTGATTGGTCATTCATACATAAAACAATGAAACTGAATAAATCATTAATTATTTAATGGAAATAATTAACTATTAACACAAAGTGGATCATGGATATGAATATAAACTATAAAACTTTTAAAAGAAACTGTAGTGAAAACCAATAGCAAATGATGGAGGGAGGCCGTGCAACCCCTCGTGGAATGCACAACGGGGCGGCCCCTGGAACAGTTGGGCGATTTCTTACAAATTAGCCACACTCTCGTCATCAGCTGTCTCATCCTCCCCAGCAGGTATTTAGGAAAAGAAACACTTCTGTTCATATGAAAGATCACTCCTGTGTCTATCAGTGCCGCGTTCAGAACTGCCCCGCAGGGCAGGTGCATCCTTCAGGAGCTGGAGCCCTTACACTAAAATGTTGCAGAGCGTAACGGAGGTGGCTGTGTTTATAATCTCTGTCTGATTGTTAGGTTTTGTATGTGTGCATTGAAATGTCATACCTCATTCTATAGATGCGTACAGTTATGATGTATCAGTGAAAATAAAAATGCATTTCAAATATCTGTAAAGAACATATTTATTCATATGTGCAATAGCCGAAGTGACTCCTAAGAGCATGCTGTTGCCAAGAAGCAGCCATTGGAATGGTCTGCATGATGAATGAATCCATTTATGTAGCTGCAGGAAACAGATCCACCAGGGCAGGGACTATGGGCTAGGGACAGTAGATTCCCAGGAAGCAGTGTGGCTGAGTGTTCTGGGGATGGTTTTTCTGGACGTGCTTTGGGGACAGTTACATGAGTCTGTATATATTTAAAGTTCAGAGGTTTGCATCCCCTAAGGGGAGATGCTATGTAGCTACATTTTAAACTTAAAAACTAATTGTAACTCCACGGTTAATCTCTGTGACTATCTCTCTGTGCTTGCTTGTTCAGACTAGGTTGGCTCTCGAGGATATTTTGTGTGTGTGTCCACAACAGTTCCATTCTGTCCCTTAAGAGCAGGCAGATGTGCAGCATCTGAACTTTACTGTGAACACGGGTAGAGGTGTTCACGGGAGCCATGTCAGAGAAACTGTTCTACACTTGAGTTCACCAAACAGATGAATTCAGCTCAAGAAAACCTATATATTCATAATCTTCTGTTCATCAGTGTCTCTCAAGGTAGAGTGCCCAGCCATTGCAAATAAAATCAAGAGTCACTAGTGAAACTTGAGTTTCGGATGAACAAGAGAGAGTGTTAATTCGAATATCTCAAATCCTGCATAGGACTGTATTTTACTTGGCAGCTGTAACCTGGGGCCTGAACAAGTAGTAAATAAAATTGCCTTTGTCTGAGGGCCTTTGTAGTCCTTTGAGTCTGATTTAAACCAAGTCCCTTTGCTTATTCTTGCCTGAATCCATCTGTTTACTCCCTGATTGCGTGTACTGAGACCTACCTGGTATCAAGCCTCTGAACGACACACATTGTACATGAACTCACACCCTAGTTTAAATGGTTAAAATCCAGACGATCACTAATTCTGACCACAAGACTGCCCTGCATATTCAAAGGTTGACTGCCATTTGGTTTTCTTCTCCTTAAGATAAATTTAAGCATGGGTTTAAAGGCTCCTAGACAAGACAGAATGCTTCCAGCAGACTGGGATCCAGTCAGACCAGCCGAACCTGCCCCCACAGCCCACCCATGCTGTGGGAAGAAGCCTTCCCAGGTCTGAGTAGTGGGGGCAAGGGAGCCGCTGGGGACTGGCTATAGAACTGGTCCATTAAGGAGCCTCTCTCCAATGGCCCTTTTGGCTCTGAGCCTACCCATTAATCAGCTTAAGGCAAAGTAGGGGGCTGACTGACCTAATGCACTTTGCCACCTCCCTAGTGAGTCTGGATCCCCAGACAGATCAAGCCACGTGGGAACATCAGGACCCTCTCCCCTTTTATTAATGGTCTCCTCAAGGTCACCGTCCGCTGGCTGAAATCATCCATTGTAGGCAGCCTACTACGCTGTGCCAAGAAAGACCCTTCTGATCCCCGAAGCTGCTTAGGCACTGGAATTGGGCCAGGGCCATGAGTTCTGTTTCAGAGGCAGAGAAATCAGGGACCGATCCCTGTCACTTTTCTGTTTAAGGCCAGGCCTGTCCACCCATGGAAAAGGGGAGGAAGCGGTGAAGGTGGAAGAGTTAGCAGATGGTCTTTGATCATTTACTTAGGTCATTAATGATATTTCATTAGCAGATGATCAAAACATTAACTAGATTTGTTCTTACCAGTTCATGGGAGTCTTCAAATATCATAGTGTGGCCAACCCACACAAGGATAAACATGCATAAATACAGCAGACAGACAGATGGGTTGTGGATGAGGGATCTATGGATGGAGGTGGGGTCTTGTTGCACATGCGCAGACTAGAAAGCCCAGTATGAGCGTTTCCAAGGAAGTTCTATTTTTTTTTGTTCTCTACATCTGTGTTTTATACTTGGGATAAGTGGGCCAGTTGGTCTGATTTTAATTTCTGAATAATTTTTCTATCTAGTCATTGTGAATGAAAC